GATAGATAGATAGATAGATAGATAGATAGATAGATAGATAGATAGATAGATAGATAGATAGATAGATACGTAAAAGCGTGACACTACTTGTCAAAAGTTTGGAATAATTAAGATTTTTTCAAATGAAAAAATATATTAATATACACTACTAGTCAAAATTTAGGAATAATAACTTTTTTTCTTTTGTTTAATGTTGTTGAAAGAAGTCTCTTCTGCTCACCAAGGCTTCATTTATTTGATCAAAAATACAGTAAAAACTGTAATATTGTGAAATAATTTTACAATTTAATTTAACTGCTTTCCATGTGAATATGTGTTAAACTGTAATGTATTTCTGTGATCAAAGCTGTATTTTCAGCATCATTACTCCAGTCTTCAGTGTCACATGATCTTCAGAAATCATTCTAATATGCTGATCTGCTGCTCAAGAAACATTTCTGATTATTATCAATGTTGAAAACAGTTGTGCTGCACAATATTTTAGTAGAAAGAAAGAAAGAAAGAAAAGGAAATTGATACTTTTCATCACAGGAATCACAGCAATAAATTACATTTTATAATACATTCACATAGAAAACAGCTATTTTAAATTGTAATAATATTTCACAATATTACTGCTTTTACTGTATTTTTGATCAAATAAATGCAGCCTCGGTGAGCAGAAGAGACTTATTTTCCAAACTTTTGACTGGCAGTGCATATTAATTTATTTTAACATCTATATTAGTGCTATATAGTGATGTTTTGGCCATTTTTTTAATATTTTAAAATGTTTTTTTTTATATATATATTTTTATTGCAGCCCTGTTTCTTTGCAGAATTTGTAAGCAATGCATTATTACCATTTATATATCTTTGCCTTTTTGCTGTGTGTAAAAAAAAAAACAAAAAAAACATCCTAAGTAGGTTTCACAATGCACACTGACTAAACATGTTACCGGCTCTTCCTGTCTCAGGGAGTGTGTGCAGTGCCGGGCGTTTGGCACAGGAGAGAAGAAAGACACGTGTGAGAGAGACTGTAGCTACTTTAACCTCATCAAGGTGAAGGACAGAGATAAACTCCCTCAGCCGGTGCAGGCCTTCCCCCTCATGCACTGCAAGGAGAGAGACGCCAACGACTGCTGGTTCTACTACACCTACGCCGTCAACAACACGGAGAAGGAGGTGCATGTGGTGGATGCTTTAGGTGAGGCTTCGAATTAAAAAGAAAAAAGAGGCATGGTATAAATGCCTGTTCCTTCAGTAGCATGAGTGTTTGTATGCTTTAATGTGTGCTTGGTTTGGCAGAGTGTCCGGCGGGTCCTGACATCATTCCCATCGTAGCGGGCGTGGTCACAGGCATCGTTCTGATTGGTCTAGCTCTGCTACTGATCTGGAAGCTGCTCATGATCATTCACGACCGCCGCGAGTTCGCCAAGTTTGAGAAGGAGAAGATGAACGCCATGTGTTTGTCCTGTACCTGATTTTATTTTTCCCTCCTTGACGCATCAAATGATATATTTATGAAGTGAAGTGTTTAAGGTATAAATCACTGATTGACTACAGCATGAGCGTTTGACTTAATAATAAATTTTTCTGTATTATATATGAGTGTATATTTTATATATGAGTGATATAGCTGCATGTGTGGTTTTTTTATTGCTACCTTTTTTAATTCAAGGTTTATTGCACTTTCTTGGGGTGTAAATGCATTTAGATGACATGTTGAAGTTGAATTGTGCTGTATATTTGTTTCTTATTTTAAAAAATCAGATTTTTGTGTGTTTCACAGGGAGAGAACCCCATCTACAAGAGTGCCGTCACAACTGTGATCAACCCCAAATATGAAGGCAAATAATGGACGTGGGTATCACACATCTGAATGTTTGGGAAGGGATAGGTTTGCAGATATCCTCAGTTTTCCTTTAAATTGTTTATTTTCTCATTGTATGTCATTCTTTTAGAACAGTATTGTAGCAGTATTTTATGACAGACTGGCTGCTTCTCATCCCTTGCAAACGTGTACAGTTTGTATAGTCTTTTTATTTACATCAGTTGTTCTTCTTTTAAACCCTGTGTACATTCACACATTCTCTCTTTTCAAACAGAACAGACATTTGTGCCTTTGCATCAAGTGTTTCACTTTAAGATACGGTGCAAAGGGATCCTTGAATTCCACCCAAAAATTGCAAAAACTCATCAAATGTCATTTAAAATCATCATATGAATTTTTGTTTATATTCTATCATGTTCTTTCTGCATTCAGACTTCTTTATCAGTCATATCTTGGCATAAGAAATTATCTGACCAGTGTATATGCAATTTATTAATTTTTTTTGCGCTAATGTAAGTTTGGTTTGATATGCTAATAATCTATGCATATTTGTTTACTGTCGGACGCATCCAATAACCTCTTCTTTAGCGTTTGCAACTTATTTCTCACTTATTGTTGCTCTTAGAAAACCATTGTGGCACGTGTCTTGTGTTCAGCTGAAAATGTCTGTGTATTTTATATGTTATGAAGGATTATTTGTTGAATTATTATGTGGCTCTTGATGAGTATCAGTGTATTCAGGTGATATCCTGTAGTTTGTAGCCAAATGTCCTTAAAACGCTCATTAGAAATGAGCACAATTATTGATACCTGCAGATTTCAAATATGTTTTCAGCTAGTATATTTAAAAAAAAAAAAAAAAAAAAAAGGAAGTGTAATATTTGAACAGTTGCGTATTTGACGTCAAAGATAAAGCTCTTTGTTGATAGGACAATAATCAGGAGAAAATGAAGAATTAGAGTGTCGTTTTGTGTTCAAATGTTGATATGCTCAAAGGTACAACAACCCTTTATTTTTTTATTATTTTATTGGAACGTAATCAGCAGGTTCAGTCATTTAAATCTACAGGAATGCTTGACACAATAATAAATATCAAGCTGAAGGATGATAAACAGATGGCCTGCCACAACACCCAATCTACTAGCTCTTTTCTAAGTGCCTTTTTCTGGTTTTCTCAATATTGCAATTTTGAATTTATTTATTAAAACAAAATCTAAAAGACTGCGATCATGTCTTTCTTTCAAACGTAATAAACAAAAATATTTATGTTAGCATTTTTTTAGGGTTACTGATACACGTGCTTTTAACAATATCAAGAATCATAATCTTTGTGACATGTTTAAATAACCAATACCTTTGTGAATTAAAATGTTACTTAACTGCTATTATGGTTTTTATTATTATTATTATTATTGCTTCTCTAATATAACTTCAGAATAGCATACTATACCGTTTTTGCTATATGAAAGCTGTGCTTAGTTAATTTGTGTATATGAATAGAATAACAGGCTGACCTACAAGATGTAATACAATTATAACAACTCTATATACACAACATTATTTCCCACATGTGCTCAGCTTTGCATTTCCAGTGTTATGAATGGACCTGAAGAAATATCAGCTGAAAATATCAATTTCATCTCTTTCCTGACTCATTCTTTGGCTACATTACCAAAAGTTGACATTTTTGATTACAATTTTATTCATATTCATTCCTGAGATGATCACTCGAACAAAACAATGTAGCAAATTATCGTTTCATACTCATAGTCGTTTTACATATAAATACTTGTATATTAAAGTAGTATATAAGTACTCCATTCTGAGTGTAAATGACGTGCATAAACAGACATTGACCAACAGAGGGCAGCAGCAGATAATCAATCCATCTGCATATGACAAACCCAGATTATAAACTAAATAAAGCCAGGGGGGAAATGCACTTCCTTAACAGACAGAGAGAGGGAAAAAAACACGATTCAAACACCAATGACTGAGTGAGAGTGGACCTATTGTAGCACTACCCGTTTTATTCATAACTCACTGTAGATTATGACCACAGAACAGTGATTGACAGCTACATCCACAACACACACTAACTTGTGTTTCAGGCTGTGTCCTCTATTCATTTACAGACAAAATTGTGCTGGGAAGCAATTTCACAAGACCAGCCCAATGTCGTCACGATGGAAACCACAAGACAGGGAATTGATTAGCTTTATATTAGATACAGCCTCTTACTAATTGCACTAATCTTTAATGAGCAAGCACTGGCATGTCAGCAAACTTGTTACTTTTTAATATATAAACGGATTGGTTGTTTTTTCCTACCCATGCAAGCAAAATTAATTTCTGTGCATTCAGCTGATGGCACACTCGTGTCCCTGCTGAAAAAAAAAAAAGAGAAAAAAAAAACTAAAACCAGCCTAAGCTGGTTGGCTGGTTTTAGCTGGTCATCCAGCCTGGTCAGAGCTGGTTTAGCAGGCTGGTTTTAGAGGGGTTTTGGCCACTTCCTTAGCTGGTCAGTCTGAGAGACCTGCTGGAACAACCAGCTAAAACCAGCTTGACCAGCCGAGCTAGGCTGGGAGACCAGCTACTTGCATCTTAAACTAGCTAAGACCAGCCAACCAGCTTAGGCTGGTTTTAGCTGTATGTTTTGGG